GGGTCTCTGCATAATTCTAGATTCATTGAAATGTAAATGATTAGTACTTTAGATATCAGTAGAAAAGCTGAAAATTAATTATGCAAATTAGGTAATTAATATGCAACAATTATTTACCCTAAAACTAATCAGGTCTCTGCATAGTCCTAAAGGATCTATGTACCAAGTTTCATTGAAATGCGATGATTAGTACTTGAGATACCCATGGAAAAGCTGAAAATTAACTAATTATGCAAATTAGGTGATTAATATGCACAAATATTTATCGAAAACAATCAATCTCTGCATAGTCCTTGAGTATGTAAGTACCAAGTTTCATTGAAATGTAATGCTAACTACTTATATCAAATGCTGAAAATTAATTAATTATGCAAATTAGGTAATTAATATGTACTGATATTACCATAAAAACTATCAGGTCTGTGCAGTGTCGTATGACATCTATGTACCAAGTTTCATTTGAAATGTGATGATTAGTACTTGAGATATCAGTGGAAAAACCGAAAATTGACTAATCATTATGCAAATTAGGTAATTAGTATCCACGGATTATTACCAAAAACTAATCAAAACCTAGCATTAGTTCAGAGCATCTATGTACCAAGTTTCATCAAAATCCAATGAGTGGTTGTTTAGATATCAGTGGAACAGTCATGGAACCACTAAAAAATAGCTAATTATCATGCAAATTAGGTAATTAATATGCACGGATTTTTACCAAAAATTAATCAAATCTGCGCATATGTTCAGAGCATCTATGTACCAAGTTTCATCACAATCCAATGAGTGGTTCTTTAGATATCAGTGGAACAGTCATAGAACAGCTAAAAATTAGCTAATTATCATGCAAATTAGGTAATTAACGAGCATGGATTTTTACCAAAACCTAATCAAATCTGCGCAATGGCCCAGAGCATCTATGCACCAAGTTTCATCAAAAACCGATGTATGGTTCTTGAGATAGCAGTGGAACAGTCGGACACACATACACACATACACACACACACACATACACACACACATACATACACATACAGACACACTAACTGCAAAGACTCCCATTTTGTGCTTCGCACATGGGAGTCAAAAACCACATCACTGATCATGTTGCTCTATTTAATAAGAGGGAATCTGAACAGGAAATTTCTTTTTGACATAACATGTGTAATGACAAGTAACCCAACATTTTAAGGATGCATACATACCAGTATGTACTTTCTATATATGGTCAATAACTTTCAAATCAAAGAAAGCTTAGAAAGAACTCCCATGTGCTGAGAGTATTGGAGACACATTAAATATAATTTGAAATTACTTAGCTGAAAACTAATTATGCAAATCAGAAAATTAATATGAACAGATTTGAGTGTAAAACTAATGAGGTCTGCGCAATGTAACAAAAAATCTATGTACCAAGTTTAATTGAAATGTGATTAGAACCAAAAAATTATGAATTATTATGCTAATTAGGAAATTAATATGAACAGATTTTTACCCCAAACTAATTAGGTTTGTACATTGTCCTAGAGCATCTTTGTACTAAGTTTCATTGAAATGGAATAATTAGTACTTTAGATATCAATGTGAAAGCTTAAAATTGGTTAATTATGCAAATTAGGTAATTAATATGTACAGATTTTAACCCACAATTATCCAGGTCTGTCTATTGTTTTACATCATCCATGTACAAACATTCATTGATATGTGATTAGTACCTGAGATATCAGTGTGAAAGTTGGAAATTGGTTAATTATGCAAATTAGTGATTATATGCACAAATATTTATCCGAAACAATC